TTATGCGGGGGGAAAGCATGCGAGACACAGGCATGATAGTCTCTCCAGCGTCCTCCTATGATCGGAACTTCAGCTTGTCGACAGCAAAGTTGATCTCTCAGAGAAGAAAGTACTGGCTCTCACTGAATCGAGAGTTGTGACGCCCACTAACTACGCCAGTCGAAAACCCCCAACTTCTTCAACGTCTCAGCCGCAATCGGTACCGTCGAATTGACCGGGTTAGAGACCACACACAAGGTCGCCTTGGGCGCGTGTTCTCCGCATGCTTTCGCTAAGCCCATAACGATCTTAGCATTGATTCCAAAGAGATCGTCTCTGGTCATGCCAGGCTTCCTGGGTACACCAGCGGTCATAATAACAAGCTTGGCGTTCTTCAGAGCCTCGCCAATCTCCTCCTCACCAGCATAGCCCGTGACCTTAGCATTAGCGTCAATGTGACTGATATCGGCGGCCACGCCCTTGCAAGGTGTAGCCGCCTGCTTAATATCGTACAGGGCTAGCTCCTTAATGGCTGGGTTCATCTTCAACAACAGAGCCAATGGTTGACCGATCCCGCCAGAGGCACCCAGCAGGCAAACCTTCGCGACCTGGCTGCTGAAGCCTCGGGTCACCATCGCCTTAGATGCGACCGTCATGAAGGGGTGCTGCAGAATCGACATAACAATCAAAAAAACTAGACAGATTATCGGCCTCCATCCACCACACTAATAACCAGAAATCTCTCAAGGTGAGAAACTCCACACAGACATTATACTATAGCTGTTCATCAATGATTTCATTGAATAGCTTTTCGTGGCTGATCATTTCCGTTGTGACTACGAGGAAGCGTCGACCTTTCCTCTCCACCGCCGATAGCCGCCTCAAGGCTGCTATCTCACCGTACGTTACTCCTCCCACAAAGCATACGACCACCACCTGCGACTCGCTCAACACCATCTCCTATTCTGATATGCTTACTTTATCGCCCTGGCCAATGGTCCCTTCCTGATCAACACTACCTGGCAAAACCTCAGGTGCTGCACCACTCGCAACCTGAGAACACAACCGTTGCGTACAGCCTTGAGCCGTGACCACGAGGTAGACAGAGCGACACAAGCTACCTCAGAGCACAAGTAGGATACTCACCTCAATGGCAGGCCCCCAAAGCAAGTTGAGACTCTCCGCAGCCCCTCGCCATCCGTTGGGCTCGGCCTCCGTTAATTCTACCAGCCGTACCGACAGCGGAGCGTAGCCCGAATAGGCGTACGCAATGCCAGTATCAGCAGCAATGTTAGAACCTGAGAACGTACCATGCTAGACAACCAATGCTCATGGAAAACTAAAACATCATTTTCTACACCCAATGCAAGGAAGGCATTCACGAGTCCAAAATAATCAGATACAGTATCGCCCAAAACGCTCAAGGAGAGGCACACCTCACTACCCGGATCAGATTCACTATCATCGCCTTCTGGACCGCCACCTGCAACTACCAAGTTAAATGCTTGCTTCATCCTCTGCCATTTGCCAGAGCCGCTGGATACCAAGTCAGCCCCACTGTCACTAGATGCTTTCAAAAGTCCACACGCAGTCATGTGGTGTAACAGTGGTACGATCAGTTTAGGACCATACCTGGGAGGAGAGGGCGCTTGAGGAAGGTACAAATAAGGCATCGAGACTTACCATTCAATCAGGTTTTTGGTGAGAGCCTTCAGAATCTTCGTCTTGATCCCACCATTAACCACACTGCAGAGGCATATAAGTCGCAGCACTCGATCCAACGGTTGAGACCCCGGGGTCTGAGATGATCACAATCAACCGAAGGAATTCTCTGTGCGCAGTAACTCTCTGCGACTACCAGGATGAAAGAGCAAAACGTTGAGAAAATCACTGCGCAGAAACAACAGAGCAAAGATGCCCCCGTCCCTACAGGTTGTCGCCCTTCCTTAACAGGCTGAGGCAGACTAGGCTCCATCATGTCATTGACAATATCGACCAGCTGAGCGGGTGTTATCGCACCAGACATGAGACCGTCCTCCACCTGTGAAAGCGGTACCTCCCATCTTGCGCGGCGTTGAAGGCCTACCTGCCATTGTTGCTGAAACCACGACATCTGTGTGAGGGCACTGGTGAAGCTAGCAAGGTTCACATGGTCTGCCAAGGAGGCATGCTCCGCTTGAGCCGACTTGAACTTATCCATATACATCTTCATCTGGGGAATGTCCGAGAGCCGGTCCTTTTCACTATACCTGAGGACATAACAAAGCCCGTAACACACCCACCGAGCAGCAAGCAGCTCCAAAGGCAATGATAATGAATAATCGAATCATCGATGACAGAATTCAGCATCGATCGAATTAACGACAACCACTTACGTTTCCTGTATCTGGCTGGCCTTCTTGTGCAACAAGGGCCCAAGCACCTCCATACGTAGATCCCTGATACCATCAAACAGCTTGTCGTTAGAGTTCAATACCACCGTCTTCCTCTCTGGCAGAATAGGCTCGCCAACATCTATGTACCTGCCCAGACACCAGATGAACCAACTCAGTAGTCACACGACGGAGTCATAGACTGAGCACTGGCGCTTCCCTCGTTCTGACCACGGAATGATTATCACTATAATGAGCACCAAATAGTTACCATCCCATTCTGTTCATACATTACAAGGTCACCATAATGAACGTTAGTATACTACTATCACCAACACAAATTCAATCAATTGTCCCACTTATTGGACATAACTATATAACTCCTACTCACAAATTCAGGAAGGATACGAATATATAACTTCCACTATTACCCGTATTTGATGCCAAGGCATCTGTCAAGTAAGCTCTCGTAAGTGAACTGTGTACACAGCACCGAGAAGAGGTCAGTGCGTCGGTCGATGACTATGAACTCCTCTATCTTCAGTCCTTTACTCGTCACCGACTCCGGTAACAGTGGTTTCCGACGACCGCCCTCCATGCTGGGCTCGGAAGATTCTTCCGGAGTCACCAGATGGCCGATCGGAGGAGCTCTCGGCCGAGGCTTAGAACTGCAAGAACACAAATATGAGAAAGCAGCATCACCGATAATTCTCGATGTGCCCCTTACCTATCACGACCAGAGAAGGCCTTCACCGCCTTGGTGTCCCCATCCACAGGGGCTCCCGTCTCGTCATCTTCCTTGGCCAGTCGTAGCACGTAGTCCACTACGTACTTGGCAGCTGTTCCTATCGCGTTCATCTTCAATACTCTGCGCCCTACACCACAATCCTGCACTCTACACCGATTCCCTTACCCGAGCATACCTGCTTGTCGAGAGACGCCCAGTCCAGCACCGAAATTGCGCTGTAAAT